ACCATTGATGACTCCTGCATTTTGTACACGAACTCTGCGCAAATTGGAAGAGTCAATCTGGCCGCGCCATCCCGCCCAAGGCCCCAAAGTACACCTCATCGCCACAGTCGATACGCCCGCCTCTACAGTGCATTTCATTTACTGTGCCTCCTCTGCCTCTAGTACGATGCCTAGGACTACCAACCTACTGATGGTTGCTCTGTTGAATTGGATTGGGCAGGAGGCGCTATCTTGTTGTTTTGTTGGTGGTTGTGTCCATTCGGCCCTGGCCTTCAAACAGGGCACCCGTGGCACCAACAGTCCGTCAATGGAACATCAATGCTCAACCAAGCCAACTCAATGTCGACGGCACGTGAGAGGCCGCCCATTCATTCATTACCTCACCGATTCGCCTCCTTCTCTTTACCTTGGGCCTCCGAGGATTACGCACCCTCACCGCATCTTGTTGTCTGCTTCTCCTCCTGCTGGATTTGGAGTGCCACTAATTCACTCCGTCACTCCGTTTCCAAACTGCATTTTTGTGTGTGTTTTAGCATTTTGACGTGGATCCTTCGTCCAGTTCTGTGCGGAGCCACCCCATTGTGCAAGATTGACATTCTCCAGGCAGGAGAATGGAAAATGGAGCCTCTGATGCGCAATTGAGCGGTCAATGGGCCCACCTATTGGTCAATTGCCTAACAGGCCCTGTCGCCTCTCTTTCTTGTGGCATCCCGCTGCCGATTGCCACGCTTCCTGCAACGACTGGCATCAGCCAAACGAAACTGGGTGTCTTGACCGAATCGATGGGATCCCATCCAGGGACAAGGGCCAGCCCAGCCCAGCCCAGCCCGCTGCCCGCCTTTGCTTTGCGGCTCCATCCATTGACTGCTTCTTCGTCCCTGATTCTGCCTGACCTTGCTTCACATGGTCGAATTGAATTTGCCGACAAATGGCCCCCTTGCCTGCGGCTAAGAACACGGCTGCATCACATACCGTAATTAATTGGCCTTCTTCCTGCACAATGCCTTGCGTTCTGTTCCATGCCCTGCCATTCCCTGTCCTGTACGTCCGACCAGGCCAATCTGGAATCACAACGTGTGGCCATCCAAGACGACTTTGCTTTCAAGCAGAACTTCACCAGAAGCAACTAGCCTCTCCATATCAACCATGATGCATTCTCCTTGCTCCAAGGTCCTGTGGCCTGCATCCGTAAGGTCTACTTTGAGCCAATGCAATGGGCTGTGGTAAAGCATACACCGTTTTGGGCGTTTATTTGGGTCTTTCTACCCCTCATTGGATTCGCTAGGCCTGGACAAGTTGCATGGCCTGGCCCAAAAGCCATGCCCATAATTGTCGCAATCACATTCACATTTCACGCCTCTCGCTGATGGGGCTGTTGGTCTTGGATCCAAGCAATGCATCAGTTCGGACGAGTGTCAGAAGAGAGACCCATACTTCGTACTCAACTCAATTCATCCCCGCTGATCAATGAGCAGTCGAGGCTAGCTCGGGTGCTCGGCTCACCTCTAATTCCCACGTAATAATTAGGGTGATGAGACGGGCAGAGCTGCCTCACGACTGACCACTACCGCCGAAAGCTTAACGGCGCTCCTGCGTGGCTACGTTTTCCGTGCCATCCCATCTTCTACTCATTGGGGTCAAGGCAACCCGCCCCCCCTTTTCAACTATCGTCAATCGCACCGCCGTCTCGGCTGACTGATTGTCTCTACCTATGCTTGTCTGCCTTCTCGAGGTACCTTTTCGCGTCCAACTACGGCCTCCAGCCCAGGCTCCTGATACTTTGACTGTCTACCTAGTGGCCGTGGGCAGGGTGCGAGGCATGGTATGGTTTCTGAATATCCGTACACAGCAGGCTGTTCAACTGAAATGGAGTGACCGCCTTAGACCCCATATTGCATGGCCCCAGTCTTGGGTATCGATCAGGTACGGCAGCAGAGATACCTTGCGGCAGCGAGGGCGGAGTTGATTGGGCCGGGCCGGATGGGGAATCGACTCTGAGGGCTCTTGAGAGGCGGGGGGTTTGGCCCAGAGCCTTTTGGAAGCCAAAGCTGAGGCTGATTGGGCGTCTGGCGGCGAGCAAGTGACTCCGATTCGAGACCTAGAATCATAGACAGGTTGTCACCCGCCCACCTCGCTTGACACACACCTCTGCTACGTGCCATCAGATGCGCCGTTCGTAGGTTCCTTGTCGAGCCCGTCCCAAGAGACTCGACCGTTCGTTTCTTGGGCAGAGGGAGGCACGGAGGATTGGTTTCTCAAACGCCATGACGGGGCCATTGGCATGATGCGAGAGGCGGTGTTTGTGGTGGCATCAGGTGAGGAGAGGGAACAGAGGCGATTCCGTCGCTCGTCGCTCGCCGCCCGAGGCGCCGTCGTCATCATGTACCTCGGTACCTAATCTACCTACCCCAAGGTAGGTACTGTAGGACATGGCAAAGACTACTGGATCCCTGCGAGATTCAATTGAGAGGTATTGTAAAACTCAATGGTTCTACCTCCAGTTCGTCCTGCTCGCATTGGCTTTTCCAAGACGTTAGGTTTAATCCAATTTCTTCTCTTTTTGATTACTGCGGCGCATCGCTTCTTGTTGGTTGAAGCTTGGCGAAGAATGATAGCAAAGCGCTTCAGTTTTGTCTCTGGCTTCCTACAGAGTACCAAATTTTTTGCATGGAGGGGCAGCGGGGGAGGGGCAAGGCGATAGGGCAGAGGCTGGCTAAGTACCTCAGCCATGTAGCTTACTCTGTGCCTTGATTGAGGTTAGATCGAATGCTCCGGGTAACTTTGCGCAGTCTTGGTGACGATGGAAACTTGTAACCTATCAGATCTAGGTTCCGGTACTCGATGATCCAACTACTTACTTGGAAACCGGGCGCTTAGAAACACAAAGGGTAGACAGAGGATGAGGTGCGTAGAAGAAGAGGCAGGGGAGGTATACTTAGATTGTCCAAGCATTGTGACTCTGTCGACGAGGTATCTCACCTTACATGAGGTGCTGGGGTGTTCAATGCCCAAAGCCACTGTGACACAACCCCCTTCCTTCTCTTTCCAGATTTCTTTGTGCTTTCTAAGCTTTCCTTACTTTACCTTAGGTACCTTGCAATAGACTCTGCACGTCTATTATGGTAGGCGGATGATTAGGACCACCCCCCGCCCCCGCCTATATATAGCGTCCAGGTAGCGCATGAAGAAGCTGGAGCAAGGTCCTGTACAAAGAGAAGAGAGCCCTCGACGGCGACAGCGACAACAACAACAACAACAACAACAACAATTAACAATCACAACAAACACCACCAACGCGACATCAACAACTCTTGCTTATTGCTGGGGCCTTCCTCGTCTTCCTATCTTGGTCAATTTTTATCAGAGTGCATGCCAGGAAAATGTGTGGTGAGGTGTGGCTCGGTCTGACTGGTTAAGTCCGCAAGGCAACAACTCGCTCACGCAAATACAGGCGTGCAATTGAATCGGGGGAGGTGTGAGGTTACATAGATGATTCAGACAAGGAGCGGACGCAGGGAAAGAGGGACAGGTGGACCACCCGCAAGGGGCGTGCGAATATCACGCTGATGGGTGACTCTTCCTCTTTCCCAGCCAGAATAAGAGCCCAAACCAGGAAGAGGAAGGCAAAGGGAACCACTTTCCACATCCGCATCCTCATCCTTCCCACCCTCCCCCCCGGACTTTACTCCCGCTCTCTCTTTCTCTCTTGTCACTCTGGTCTAGGTATTATCCGTACTGTAGGGTCATCCAGACCTCTGTTTCCATGTTTCGGCCCTCCACTCTCTGTTCCAACTCTCCCGCCCCGTGCTGTTCAGTGGTGACCCGTCTTCCTACACTACCTAAATGCTCCATGTCCAGGATTTCAGGCATCGTTCGTGCCTTGGACTTCCCCGACCGTCTCCCGTCTTCCGTCAAGTTAGGTTCCCGATAGTCCTGCCTGGTACCGTATTCATAGATACCTACACCCACTGTGGACTGTGACACCCTCCAAAGCCCACCCCGTCTCCATCTTCGTCACCCTACTCCTCTTCGTCCTCTTCCTATTCTCATCCTCTTGCCCAACCTAACCTGGCACTCGCTCACTCGTACCTCCTTCTTCAGTCGTGCATCATCCACTTTGCGCCAGGCCTCGCCTTATCCCAGTCCTTCTTATTATTCTTCTTACCGCCCTCCTAGCCGGGCTTCGTGCTTTCTTCTTCTTCTTCTTCTTCCTCCATTCTTCTACTTCTCGCTGTTTACTGTGTCAAACATCGACGTATTCCGCTCTACAAACCGTGCGGTCCCTTCCTCGGTATTCATCGCCACATCTACTCGAAACTCTCAGTGGAATACCGCCACCGACCGCCCCCCTCCACACAGATATCGATTTGCTTCTGTCGCCTCGCCCCGCCCCGAACAACAGTATCCATCCGGTTCCCTCTCGCTCTCCGTTTGACATTGACGCACACTTCTGTCTCCTGTTGATTCAATTCAAGTCAATGGAGGCTTGTGCTTGCCATCGAGCGTGCAAGTAAATTGTCGATTGCATTGCTCCCACTGTCCACCAACCTCAGCACGGCTGCGTCAGCACCCGACCGCAGTAAAGCGAAACTCAAACAAGCTTCCCGCAGCGAACGTCATCGTCAATTGGGACAACAAACTCCCCATTTACGGCCCTCGCTTCTTCTTAACACACTCAATTTCTGGTCTATAACACCACCTTCAAAGGCAGGCAGGCGCTTCGAGCGACAAATTTCTTTTTCAATCTCGCCTTCAGCCCCGGATACGCAATTGTTCTTCCGCTGTCCACCGGCTTCCCTTACAGCCGAATCACCCTGACTCCGATATCTCCATACTCCGCCACGCCACCACCAACAACACAGATTATGGCTGACAAACCCAACCATACTGCCGTTCTGCAGCCTACAAGAACCTTTGTATCTACTCACTCTTCCCAAACCCCCTTCAAGCTCTCTAGGATGCAGCCATCCTCGTCAACCTCAACCTCAACCTCGCAAACAATGGACACCAACTACCACATGACGCCACATCAAGCGACTACTCTGGCTCGAGAGCCAAAGAGGGCATTCGATATCAGCAATCTGATGTCACCCCCCGAGCCGCTGCCCTACGACAGCTTTAACCAAGGTCATCAAATTACGGCACAGATTGCGTCAGGTGCCTCTCATGCTTACGAGACGACGAAGCCCCGCATGCCCATGTCGCCTCCTGTCTCGCCTTACATCACCGAGTCCAGCAACTTGAACATAAATGGAACACCAGCTAAGGATCCGATCTTGTACCCTCGTGAGGACGCGGCTTCGAGCCCGACGCAACCACCTCTCTTTCCCAGCACCGAATCCATCGAACACCGGCGCATCGTTGACGAGCACATCGTTACGCGGCCTCCGGGCCTGTTCCGCGAGGGATCGCCTCCTCTCAGAGAAGACTACGAGTTAGCTCTGCAACTCAAGTCACAGGTTATGAGACTTTTTGCGAATAAGAGGAAGTCATGGTACGAGAAAGAGAGAGATCAGATTAGAGCCGATCGCAAGTTGAATCACGCTCGGTGGAACAGCGTCGTGCGATACCAAACAATCGCTCCAGCCAAGTCCGCACCCGTCAAGGCGTCAAAAGCATCAACCAGCAAGCCCAGGATTACTTTATCTACTAATTCAAAGCCGGACCGCATTGTGAAGCCCCAGGCTCCCCGGCCCATACGCAATAGCCCCCCGACTCGTCATGCTCGCCGTGTCAGTTCTACTCCGGATCCTGCTCGTCGCATCGTTGCGCCAAACAGAGAGGATCGCGACTTTACCGCTCTCCCCGACTTCTGCCCTCCGACGTCCTCGCTGCCGGACAAACCCAATTGTTTGAAAGTAGACTGGAAGGGCGCTCCCATCGACCTCAGCGACGACCCCAATATTCACTTGCTGCACCCTGACGAAGTTAGTCTTGCTGCCAATCTTCGGCTAGACTGCGCCACATACCTCACAAGCAAGCGACGTATCTTCGTCCGCCGGATTGAATGTGCAAAAGTTAGCAAGGAGTTCCGCAAGACCGACGCCCAACAGGCCTGCAAGATTGATGTCAACAAAGCTTCGAAGCTTTGGACGGCTTTCGACAAGGTCGGCTGGTTGGACCTCAAGTGGACGGCCAAATTCCTCTGAACATCGCTTCAGCCATCTCATTTCCTAACCCCATGAATCATCTGGTATGAACCGTGGTGTTTGACCTTGGGATATCTATACCTCCCTACGTCTCTTACGAATTATTTCCACGACGCCACTCTGACGAAGACTTGAATCGACTTATGACACACGGGCCATGAGATCAACTCAAGTTACCCCCCTCTTTTTTTTTTTTTTTTTTTTGGAGCATTTCGTTGCGTACAGCGACATCGGTTCGGGATTGGTTCCTTAACTCGGATTTCCTACTTCAAGTACTATCAGGCGGGAGACATTTCCCTCATTCGCGCTTCTTTGTTCAGCAACGGTGGTTTCAGGTTTCATATGGTTTTGATATTTGGGACTATTTTATCACTCATGCGGCATCACATCACGGACACAGCCTTTCACCACATCAGAGCATTAGGGATTACACCATGATACCCGGAGTGCGACAGAAATCTGATTACCCCAGTCTTGTCACCCCACTCCATCACAATCTCCTTTCTTTAGTTTTGCATTATGGGTTACTTGGTCATCATACCCCCTTTTCATCAGTTTTGGTTGAAGGAATATTGGTTTTGGGTCAGGGCAGGTTACGTTTGCGGCCATTGTATCAGCACGCGGCTGAGTTGCTGGATTGGCCTGAAGATTGGTTACTTTTGTTGAAATAAGTCGCGGTGCGGCAGCCATTCCTCTACGGAGAGGAAGGACGGTCTCAGAGTCAATTAAGCCACGGCATTCTGCCAAAGTACTTTACTCCGCCAACCATCAGTCGACCATGTGCCAAGCTTGTCGGGCGATGTATGTAGCAAAAGGAATATGGCAAATTTATACGAGAGGTTATGTGGGCAGAGTACGATGCACCAGTTCTGGGACAATTGTGGCCTGTGAAATTGCAGTGGCGCTTTCGCGAGGTTATTGAAGATGCTAGCTCAGCCCTATGAGACGGACATGTGCCTTGTTTCCTTTCCCGTTTTCCCTCTTTGGAGGGGCGTGTCGCGGAGGGCGGAGCTCTTGGGTAGTCAGGTTCTGTTGATCGACGCGGGGGTGCGGGGGACTGGACGTTCGGATCGAGCCAGCGCAGGTGTCAGTTGCTGCACCGTCATGCCAGGGCAGAAGGGGCTATTTACCTGCCCCCCAGGAGTGCTGAGGGCTCGGGGGTGTGACACTCACTCCACTGGTTTGTATCTCTCTGCCTCAATCTGCCTGAGGCACAGTTCATCCCGGTAGCCTCATCTCATTCGCCTCGCTTTCACAGCGGGCGCTCATCTAGGCCTACATTTTCTTCATCTGGCAGAATGTTTGTTAATGTGGCCAACTTGGTCAATCAAAGTGTCGAGAGGTTCTCACTCCCGCAATCTTGTTACCGGGAATGCTCTATGATAGCCCACTACAGTCTGCTTATCCACGCTGAGTGTCATGTCGTAGACGAGGCAGTCGAGCCAGGTTCGTCCCGACTAACTCACATTGCTGATTTGAAGATGAACACCACCCAAGTTTTCTGGTTGTGAGCAGCGCATGAATCGGCTTGGGAGGTCGGACTGCGATTCTACATAGTCCTTGGGCTTTCTCGTCTCCTCTGGCCATCACTACGGGGAAAGAATGATGGGATGAGCAATGGCATTGACCACTCGGACGGCGCAATTGATGGCGCTCAGGTTGAGAGACTGCACCTGGCTCATCCTTCATCTTGAGGTTCTTCCGGTGTACCGCCCCCGGAACCAAACTCGGACCAGTTTCCCCAACAGCAACGACAAGGACTGAATACCCGCCGAATCTTCCCATCCGGAAAGCTCATGACCGAGATGCCTGAGAAAAGCCAGAAATTCCGTGTAGTTTGAGACGTACCCATAATGCATCCTGCCTCGCCTCGAGCCGATCGATCAGGACTACCTTGGAAATAGTATTCGGCACCTTTGGGAAGGACGAGGGAGATTTTTGGCCGTTACGGATACTGCCTCGTGCCAATGCAAACAAATTTTCGCTTCCGCTCCCGGGGCCCAGGATGACTGCCGTAGCCGCAGCGGATGTGGCCCGTACCATCCCGGATACCTCGTGCTGTGTGGGCAACTTGCTGTTTAAAGCCAAAGAGGAGGGGGTGTGCAGGTATTAGGTAAATAGAAATGCATTGGGCTCACCTACTATGTATGGCGAATCACTGCGTAAGGTAAGGTATCCATCCATACATTGGTATTAAAGGAAGGGGCAAGAGTGGCCTCATGGCCTGAGGCAAGAGGACAGAAGCACTCATCCCCCCAACGTAGGTACCTTACCTTAACCGAACGCAATGCACGATAAGCTATCGATAAGATGGACGGGAAACATTCTGGAAACAATATCGTCCGTATCGTCCGAGGGCTCGTGTCTCTCCCACGGAAGTTGTCTCCGTGAACCGTTACTTGGGCCGCAAAGCGTTGCGCCATGATGTCGGCTTTGGCTCTCGGCAGCTTCAACGTTAACTCAATGTTTCGTCGGTAGGATCTTGGGAGGGGAAACTCATTGGTTGGGCCATGTCCAGGGAGACGGATTTGCGTTGAGCTGGGCTAGCTCACGTCTAATTTTGGCCAGTTGGTTCCGGCATGCCTCGCTCGTCATCAACTTTGCTGCAAGGCCATAGACGATGACAGGCCTCGGGATCAGGTTCTGTTACATTGTGCCCTCTCCGTGCTTCAAGGCTTAGCCACCACCTAGGTCGGTGGTCTACCCTTCCGGCCTTGCCTTGCTCATCTAGGCGTCGATCCTGAACCAGCCTTACTTATATGCCGTGTACAATACTTTTGATTCCGTTTTCTTACTCTCCACTTTTATCTGCCTACTTAAATGCGTTTTCCCAACCGACTACATTATGCGTTACTCAGGTCTATCAGATCTTCCTGCGCCGGAGGGCTAGAGATCCTCATCGCAATAGCAAACTTAGAAAACGTCTGCGCGTTGCTAGTAGCGGACCGATCTGTGAACATGTCACTGACTGCGAGCTGGCAAGAGCCTCTAAGCACCAAGATCTGTTAGTATTTGTCATTGAAAGGCTTTGGCCAACGTACCCGTGACACTTTCGGCCACACGTTGCTCCCCGGGCACCCGTCGTTCGCCCGCAAAGCATGCTACAGCCTCCTTTACCTGCAAATCTTTCCCACTCATCCGGCTTCCGGATACGGATCTCACTCCCATGCGCCTGGCAGGAGACGGGGATATAGTCCGCGGGTGAAGCATCCATTCTGTTCAAGACTTCACTCCAGATGGGTCGAGCCGACGACGCCAGCAGATTCCCCATATCGCCGAGGATGACGAGGAGGTGTCGAGGACGGCTGAGGGCCACAATGGCACGTCTCAGGTCATTGAGAAAGCCTGAATCTGGCCTGGTCCGGTCTTCTGGACTTCGGGTAATGGAAATGAGGATAATGCTATTCTCCCTGCCCTGATATCCGTCCACCGTCTGGACCTCGGGCCCGAGGCATCCGATGCCGAGCTTTTGACGGAGGCTGTTTTCGATGCAAGCCTTCTGTCCGCTGTAGAAGGTCAGGATGGTGATTTCTGATGGGCTTGTACAATTGGACACCAGGTGATTGTACAGCCCGACAATCATGTCGGCCTCGAAAGTGTTCACCTTGCTGCAATACCGTTTGGACGACTCGGGGCGTTGGTGGTCAAACCACAACACACTCTTTGAGCCCATGCCGGGGACCGCTTCCCGGTCTAATGTCGAATGGTGGTCTGTCAGGAGAGGGTACCAGGCGCTCAGCAGTCTGCAGATATCAGGTGCCATGCGTCTTTGCACCTGAAGGGTGGAATGCTCCAAGCCGCGCTCCACCAGCCTCTGGAACAAAGATACGTTCAGGTAGAAGGGGGGCTTGCTGAGCTCCAGGACATCCGCGTGGGGCGCCAGCTGCATGTGGTCGCCGACCAGAATGATCTGCTCCAGAGAAGGGAATAAGGCCGCGGTAATGTTTGCTTCGCGGGTCTCGGCTGCTTCTTCAATCATCATGACGCGTGGTCGCAACGCGGCGATGAGTCTCCGGTACTTTGTGAGGCCTGTTGTCGTGCAGCCTATAACGCGGGCCCTTGATTCCCGGACTGCGTTGACATCCTCCTGCCACCGGGTCACCTTGAGCTCCTTGACGACGTCGTGAAGTTGCGCGAATATAGAAGAGAGAGCCAGCTTGGTTGATGCAATGTAACGACGCTCGAGGTATTGATAAACCGTGCCGCGATGTTTGGGTGGAATCGACCAGAGACTTTCGCTCTTGGCGAGCAGCTCTTGTACCGGCGTTTCGCTGACAGCGGCGACTTTTGAAATTTTGATGTTTCTCCAGCGCGAGATCAAAATGGGCTTGCCTGTCAACTGCTCTTTCTTATTGTAAGTGGAAACCTTCTCGCTGAGACCAGGCGCCGACGTTGCTTCGTCGTCAGCATGACCATTGAGAGGTACGTGAACACTCCTGTGAGGCACCTGGGCGAGTAACTGATCACCAAGCCACGGCCCGAGCGGATGTCGGGAAGCGTCCCCAGCAATGGATTTGACATCGCCATTCCAGCATTTCATAACTGAAGCATACTGCTCCGCACTGATCAAGCCTACTTCACGAAAGTGGTCCGGCAGAATCAACAGCTGGTGAACGGAAGGGTAGCAGCGCTGAAGGAGAAGCTTCGCTTGAGACCTGAGAGAGACGAGGCTTTTCTCGAGTCCACTCTTGCACCACGTCTTGCTCCGAGATCGCATCCGGAGGTTGAAGAGTGTTCGGCTGGTGATGGCCTCGTCTTTGGCTTGGCCACCGAGACGGACAAAGTCCACGCCGAGCTTGTGGCATCTGGTGAGCAGCTCGTCAACGGTGTCGTTCTTTTGAGCTGTGACGATGATGGGAGCGTTGGAACGCTGCGTGCTTAGCAGGACCTTGAGTGCGGCCATTGACGTGTGAGTCTTTCCCGTTCCCGGGGGACCTTGGACGATGGCGAGCTCCCTGGCTATCATGCGCTGGAGAGCTAGCAGCTGGGATTGATCCAGTCTTGTTTTCGATTGGATGTGGCTGGGTATATCGCCTTGGATCGGGATGTGTATAGGTCTTGGGTGTTGAAGATCGTCGTGGAGGGCTGAGATATCCAAAGAGTCGAAGGAGGGAGGGAAAGAAGTAGGTATGCCAACGGTGTTGAGTTGACCGATGAAATACTTGTCAAATGGTGAACTGAAAATTCTATCAGCTCAACGATCCGCTATGAGCCTTTTGCGACTGGGTCTTACTCGTCCTCTGCCGTCTTCTTTAGGCCCTCCAGAACGTGTCGAACAGCCTCAAAGTAGTTCGAGCGGGCTTCGACCATGACATACTCCTGATCTGGCTCCATGACAGAGGCTGTGATACGGGGGTCGGGAAATTCGAGATCTAAGGGAGGAGGCGCCATTGAGTTGCCAATGAGTTCATCGTAGCGACCTGTCACCACTGCTACGATGCACTCCGTTCTGAAGTTATCCGAAGCGGGAGATAGGGCCACTATTGTGCCTGGGACCAGACGCTGCGATGCTGGCCAGTTGATGAGTTGTCGTGCGCGAACGGCGGAGAAGGTGACGCGGATCATGACTCCGAGGCGTATAATATTGACGCCACCGATAAAGACCTTGGGTATACCCTATCAGACCCCATCTTGTTTAATTTGGATCAGATGGCTTACATCGGTATAAATGCATGTCTCAGTGCTGTCTGCCATCTCGGGAGTGGATTTGTACTCTTGAACGGCTCTGCGGAGAGGCTCGACTCCCTCGAAACGCAATAGGTCGTACTGGGCCTGGAGGTACGCGCCTTTTGTTGGGTAAACGATGTTGAGGCCGTTCTTCTTTGGAAACGTGCCACATTCTTTCATAATCTCCTCTGCCCGAGGTAGTTCAGGTGTGTCACACCAACTCATCTCGGCATGCATGCGGCTATGAGGCAGCATAGTTGCGGTTTTGCAGTCAGGAAGCTGTTTCTGGAACATGGTGTAGATTTGAAAGGCAGTTCAATGCGTCAATTCCAGGAGGTGGGAACTGCAGTCGGTTATGGGACTCAAGAGAGAGTATGGGTAGGCCTGAGAAAAGGGAATGTCTGAAAGCAACTAGATTCTAGGAGGTGAAGGAGGAAGACCGTTGCTACACATACACTCGGTAGCATGGAGATCAAAATTTTGAGAGACAGAAGTGGCACCGCTCCTAGGTTACGAAGCATACAGACATTGAAGAAGAATATCAGCAACATATTTGAGAATCGGACTTGATATCTAAAACCGGGCCTGATGCATATTTACTGATGGGCCATGCTCCAGCATGTGATCGAGTGAGGAGGGAGCTTACCAAATGTAAACGGATAGGGCATGCAACGCGGTCGAACAAGAGGATACATACTCACGACAATTTCCAGAAAAATGGGGACCGGAGGATGTCAAGGCAGGAATCATTGACGAGATCGTTTGTCGAGAGCGTTTAGTTACGGTATGAAAAGCGTTTGCAAGACCATAAGAGCTTGGCCAGAAGCCCACGCATCCTGATCCAAATCCTCAACCGGCTTCCTACAGTGCAACCCGGTCAACCCAGCACTTTGAGCCACAAACCATGTGGGATGCATAGTGGCAAAGATTTACCGCTTTGATTTAAGCGGATAGATACCTGCAACATGTTTGGATTGATCATTGATATGGGGGCAGCAAGAGATTTGGTGCAAACGCCAATAAAGTCGTCTAGGAAGGAAAAGGTGGAAGGTCCAGCCTGGTCATATTTTCAGAGAGCTACCACATGGAGGAGTGAAAGGAAAAGAGGCAGAGCAAATAAAAGCAAAAAAAGAAAGAAAAGTTTGCTGGTGGTTTCCCCATCAGCCTCACTACCAAGACTGAGATAGCCTCCTTACGAAAAGACACTGGCTTAAGTACTTAGGTACCTAGTACCTAGAGTCGGTATATCCAAATACCCACTGGACTAGAAGCGATCTAATCTTGCTTTGACACTTGTCAGGGTTTGGGGCTACCTGGAGGAAGGTATGGTTTGGGAGTTGGGTGTGAGAAGCCTCGCATCGGGTTTTCGAGAAGGAACGTCGTTGGAAGACCGGTGGTTCCAGCCGATCTCCAACCGGGCGGCGCCGAAATTCAGCCGGAACGGCATGTCCGGCCGAATTAATCGGTGCTGCTTCCGCACCGGAACGCTTTCGTAGGGTGCCTTCAGACATTGCTTCAGGGGATGCTAGCGCGGCTGGGCTTGGTAACCTTGTCGTCTCCCCGCTGTGATCGAAAGCTACCTAAACTGCCCTTGCGTGGCGCACAGCACACCCGGCCAGAAGTGGACAGGTGCGCAGGGTGAAGTGGGCACACAGCGCACCAGGGCGGCCCCACCGAGCTGAGCTGCGAGGTGCTCCAACCCAGCACGTCGTCGCGACCGCAGCTTTCGCGACGATTCCATGTGCTGCGAGCATCATTGGCGTCCACCAACCACCCATCTGCTGCGACACATTGCTGCCAACTTTGTCACTATCCCTATTAATCTTTGGCGAAGAATGGTATTCTTCATACCGCGACAGTTCAGAGATATATAATAAATCGCAAACTTACCCAACCGCCTCTCCGGCCCCCACGCAACCCTGTCAACGCCGTGAACCTCTCCGAAAACGACTGCACAATCCCGCTGCACCCTGCTTGCGACCTCATAGTTGCCCTTTGTCTCTCTTTCTACCTATCGAAGCCTCGACATGGATGATGATGATAGAGGTATTCCTCACAGTCTTGTCATTTCCGGAAGCCTGCTGACTCCCCCGGCGCACCAGATTCCAATGCGAGCTCCGACAATGATCAGAACGACCAGGACGAGGTGATGGAGGATGTAGACGATGCAGAGGGAGATATGGAAAACGAGGAAGAAGATAATGACGACGACCAAGAGGATAACGACCGCGAGGAAACAGGAGATGACGCGCAAGAGAAGGGTGATGTGGCAGCTACAAGAGATGCAAGAGTGCCCTCTAGAGCCGGTTCGGCCGGCGCCGGGGGATCGCCTGGGGGGAAAAGCGGCGGATCACCAATGCTGTCCTCAAGTCTGTTCCCGAGCGTCCGACCTGAAGCCGTGAACGCCCGGCTGTACGATATTGTGCCTACAATGGCTGCGCCGCAGGCTACGAGTGTGAATGCTGTAGCCATCACGCCCGATCTTCGGTTCTGGATGACGGGAGGCTCCGACGGATACATCCGAAAGTATGACGGACCCGGTACAATAAACGGTAAACAACTGCTCACAGTGGCGCAAAGACACCCCTTTGTCGATAGTGTCGTCAAGGCGGGAATTTTGATGTCATACTGGGAGAATGAGGAGCCAGGACCACCGAATCCAAGAGGCAACGAGGAACATATCCTGTCGCCCGTTTACTCATTGGCTGTCCACTCGCAGGCGCTATGGCTACTTTCAGGTCTCGAATCTGGTGGCATCAATCTCCAAAGCGTAAGGCATGATGAAGGAAAGCGCATTACGTGCCTGCAGCAACATACCAATGCTGTGAGCGTTTTGACACTGGCCCAAGACGAGAAGAGCGTCCTGAGCGGCAGCTGGGATAAGAATATTTTCGACTGGGATCTCAATACTGGCGCTGTCAAACGTTCTTATGACGGCAGCGGAGGTCAGATTTCTGCCATCGAGCTCCGGCCAGTAAATGGTGCGCCAATTCCTGCCGAGGCAATGGAGGAAGACATCAAACCTGACGCAACCTTCACCTCAAATAACAGCAAGCCTCCTCAGAACGGCCCCGTGGATGATACCAACGGCATTGAAGTCCCGCCTCCTGCGATGGCTGGTGAGAGCGCCGAGGGACAAGCGTCACCCGCACATGAGTCGCTTTTTGGTGGTAGTGACACAGGCTCGCTCTTTGGCGATAATGTGGCAGGCAATTATGGCGGCGATGACGATGACGAGTTTTCTAGGGCGATGGGAGACATGGGAATGCCCACTCTCCATGATGGCTCAGGGCAGGACGGGGGTATGGACCACTCTGCCGACATCGACATGACAAATGCATTCAACGCCGATGCCACCTCGGCGCCAGCGGTTCAGCCCCTAGGAAGCAGCAGTCCCGAAGTCGCAAGACATCAGCCTCCAGCTCCGGCTCTGGACGCGACCGCGGCAGACGGACCCTCGGCGCAAGACAGCGCGGGCGATGCTACGGCACAGCTGCCTGTTCCCGACTTTCCAGAGATCCCCGCCCTACCCGATATGCAGACAGATGATGCAGCCCCCGGGTCACCCTCCATGATTTTCGCCTCGGATCCTCCTGCCCCGGCCATGGACCCAACTCAATCAGCGGATACAATCTTCTTCTCCGCAGCCATAGATGGCACAATCAGACTTTGGGATCGGCGGGTCCAAGACCCTGTTGCAAGGATAGGTAACCAGCGAGGCGTGCCACCTTGGTGTATGGGAGCCTGTTGGAGTCCGGACGGGAATTGGATCTATGCTGGCAGGCGAAACGGAACGGTGGAGGAATACAACATCCACAAGGCCAGAAGCGGCTGGACGCCGGAGCGGACGCTCAAGTTCCCGGCTGGAAGTGGAGCCGTAAGCGCCGTACGAGCGATGCCGAATGGCCGCCATCTCGTCTGGTAAGCTACCAAAAGCTGGCATGGAAATACAGTTGTGAAGCTAACATAGGCGCAGTGCCTCCCATGATATTCTTCGCCTGTATGATCTCAAGGACACGCGGGCTTTCAAGCATTCCACCGTCCCCTTCCTGATCATTCCTGGGCCCCCTAGAGCCGGGGTCATTTCATCACTCTACATTGATCGAACATGCCGTTTCATGATCTCAACTGCTGGAACGCGCGGTTGGGAAGGCACGAGTACCGAGGTTCTGATTGGTTACGAGATCGGCGTTACCGAAGAAAAGTGAGGCCTTGCATTTCTACTCTTGGTCGGCGGTCGAGGAAAATAGAGTGGTGATGATGTGTGGAGGCGACTCACGTTGCCGAGAATATCAAAGAGAGAGAGGAGAGAGAGAGAGAGAGGAGAGAGAAAAACAAAACAGAGGACGGAGTTTGGAGAAAATGTTGACCTGCAATTTGGAGTCTGGGGGTGACTCATCTTAAAGTTGTAGCGTTTTCGAAGACCTTGGGAGTCTCAGAGCCTACTATCAATACCCATCTACTAGTGGCTTGCGGACCTTTTCTATCTGATCAATTCGTCTCTTGCGCTTCGATGGTCGCTAGCTTACCGAAATTACGACGTAGGTATGGGCTCTTCACTGGAGGCCCCTCTGAGGCTCTCCGACCGTCTGAATCAATATCGCAACTTCACTAACACCAGCTGGCACCTAAGTACCTAGGTGAAATATTCATCATTTCCTTGCAAAAGACTTCTCCGTGTGTCTGCCATTGCTCTTCGCATTCCGGGTATCCAGAAGAGGCTCTTCACATTACGATGCTAGCTTTCCTCACGCTTGGTTTCGTCTTCCCTAGGGAATTCTGCCATGGTTTTCTGAGAAATCAATGGTCAAGAAATGAAGACTTGTGGTTGTCCGGCATGGGAGGCAGCGCCCAATGTCCAATGTAAGGTAGTTTGCGGCCCTTCTTCTCATGTTTGGATCCAAGTCCACAGCAGCGAGGCGGGGAGCACGAGAGGGGCCCACGGACAGTTGGGGTGGTCAAATCAAGCTCAGGGGAGGGTCTCGGCATCCTCCCCCAAGGACTTCCCCGCCAACCTCGAAGCAACCGCTATCTCCAACATCCCACAGTGGTCTAGCGCGCCGACCACATCCCCACCTGGCTGATAAGCCCGGATGGCGGCATGCCCGCCCAGGCCTTTTACCCCAGATTGGCTTTGGTCTTGGACCCGCCGCCTGGCAGCTCTCTGTTAATCTTCAACACACCAAAACACCACCTGCCACCTGCCTCTCCCCCCCCCCTGTAGACCGGAGATTCTCATATCTCTGAAAACCTGCTGACCACTAACCTGCCCTGGATTCGAATCCCTTAGTCGATAGAGGCTGGCCACTCGGGGCTCGCACCGGTCTTTGCCGGCGATGAGGGGTCCCGATACCGTTCCCGTTCGATGCGACACGAGACCCGGCCAAGTCCTCTGCCTTACTACGGCTGCTGTTCTTGAAGAGAAATAAGATAACCATGCCTCCCCCACACTCGCGCTCGTCCGCAACGACTGGCGCACAAGACGACGAAATTGAACCTCTTCTGCGGGGAGTCGATACTTCATCTTACACTACCAGTTCCGCAATGGCGTCCAAAGATGTTGAGATCATTGCCGTGGTTCCGGATGCGAAGCCCGGTGCCGATGATGCTGCCCTGGCTGAGGCCATTCGCCTCGAGCACAACTTGACATTCTCTCAGGCTGTCAAGCTTTACCCCGCTGCCATTGGGTGGTCTGCCTTTGTGTCTATCGGGGTCATCATGTTGGCGTTCGATCCGCAACTGCTCGGAAACCTCTATGCTACGCCTCAATTCCAGAGAGATTTTGGTTATGAGTATGAGGGCTCTGTAAGCTGTCGTCTCCTTTTATATGTAAAGTCTATACTGACGTATCATAGTACATCATCAGTACGCCCTTGCCACTACTTCATTTATTGTAGCACTTCTCTTATTAACATGTCTTTAGGTGCTGCTTGGCAGACCGGACTTTCTATGGGCAATCCCGTTGGTCAAGTTGTCGGTGCCCTCTTCGCTGCATATCCCATGGACTGGTACGGCCGAAAACTGACCTTTGCCGTGTGCGTGGTGCTCACCGCCGGCATCGTCTTCATCCAATTCTTTGCACGCTCTCTGTCTGTCCTCTTGGTCGGCGAGCTTCTCGGCGGTCTCGTCTTGGGCATGTATGTTGTCATCGCCCCGGCTTACGCCTCCGAAGTTTGTCCCACTGCTATCCGTGGCCAACTAACTTCCTACGTGAATCTCTGCTTCGTCATAGGCCAGCTCCTTGCCAACGGCGTCACAGCAGGGACTTCCAAACTCGACACACATTGGGCGTATTCTCTACCATTTGCGCTTCAATGGTTCTGGATCCTTGTCATCCTCCCCGGCCTGCTCTTCGTACCAGAAAGCCCGTGGTGGCTGGTAAGAAAGGGGAGAATGGACGATGCGAGGAAGAGTCTGAGCCGTCTGGCGTCCCAGAAGGTCAACATTGCCGCTTCTTTGGCCTTCATCGTAGAGACCGATAAACTTGAGCAAGAGCTGGAATCTGGCAGCACATACACAGACTGCTTGAAGGGCGCCAATTTGAGACGGACGGAAATATCTGTTGGTGTTTACTGCACTCAGGTCCTCAGCGGCATCTATCTCATAAATTATGGGACGTACTTCTTTCAGCAGGCAGGCCTACCTACTGACAAGGCATTTGATATGGCCATTGGCTTTCTTGGTAATTCGCCAACCCTTTGCCTTTTCTTGAGATCATGAGCCTTGGCTAACCTCAGCAGCTGTTGGATTCCTCGGCACTGTCATATCCTGGTACTTCATGATCCATTATGGCAGAAGAACCATTTACATCATCGGCCTCGCCACCCTGGTATTTCTGCAGCTCCTCATCGGCATATTAGACTGTGTTCCTGGGCGTCCCTCTGGCGTGGCCTGGGCAGAGTCATCCCTCATGCTCATTTGGAATTTTGCCTACGACTTGTCCGTTGGACCCGTATGCTTCGTCCTCATATCAGAGGCTTCCGCCACAAGAGTGCGCTCCAAGACGATTGCACTCGCTACAGCTGCCCAGGGGGTCTTGGGGATCATCATGACCGTAGCGATCCCGTACATGATCAACCCAGATGAGGCTAACATGCAGGGGAAGCTCGGCTTCTTTTTTGGTGGGCTGGCCGGGTTATGCTTCATCTGGGCTTGGTTCCGCGTCCCCGAGACAATGGGCCGCACGTACGAAGAGTTGGACATTATGTTCGATAGGCGAGTTCCGGCGCGTGATTTCAAGGGTTATGTTGTTGACGGCATCACTTCTGCCGATCACTAAGACCAGCAGCACTCCGATGAGGCTTTGATTGGGAGACGCAGTCGCCGCAATGGCTACTAGAACGACACCAGTATGAACTTTGATGTTTCTTCGCACACGCACACGAACACGCTACACGTTCAGAGGACTTCCATTGGGACTGTTTACAGTGATGTTGACTTGCTCCTCGCACAGTTGAAGAAGCCACTAGGCTGGCTAACATGGCATCCAGTTAGTCATAATAGCAGGCAAGAATGTGTGATGAACTCGGTGTATCTATTGCCATGAGATGAAATCCTCAAAGTTTTATTCGGACCTAAAAGCAAGGCTTTTCTGGTCATTGGAATCATGCATTAAAGCTACGACTACACAAGTCTCGATGGCTAGCAGACCGCAGTCATACATCCTCCGTTCCGAAGCTAGAACCCTCCGAGGCCCTCTCAAAAGCTTCCGCAAGTGGGAGGAGGAGAGCGGTGCCTATTTCAGGTCAGCAGGATGTCCTCCATGAATGAAGGCCGCTGCGCCACCCGGACGATGCCCCGTCAAGACACGGCGACACCAAAGATCCTGTCAGACCTCCCAAGAAATTGCCCTACCGGCAAGAAAGACGTATAAGAACCCAATAACACCAATAACAGCAAATACTAGGTTAAAAGATTTGTTTGCATCTCGAAGTGGGAACCTGCAGACTGATCCGGTGAAGTAGCGTCGATTCAGGCGTCTCAACACCCTTGGCCCTTACTCCTTGTCCATGTCAACATATCCAGGAGGAACTAGAAATCACGACCAACCACCCTAGGAAGCATTCCATAGTTGTCGAGCGAAGATTTGGTCGCCATCATGGCCACGGAAAGCGCGCGTACGCTCTTCTTTCCGGCACCGGAACCCCCAACACCGCTTGCCCGCTACCGCATCCTCTCCCCCAACGCCGCGATCCGCGTCTCTCCCCTTCAAATGGGAACCATGTCCCTGGGGACAGCCTGGTCGGACGGCATGGGCCCCGTCGACAAGAACGCCGCCTTCGCCCTGCTGGATGCCTACCTCGACGCCGGCGGCAACTTCTTCGACTGCTCTAACGGCTACCAGCACGAGCAATCCGAGTCCTGGCTCGGCGAGTGGATGAGCCTGCGCGGCGTCCGAGACCGGTGCGTCGTCGCCACCAAGTTCTCGGCCGACTACCGCATGCACTCTCTGGGAAAAGGCCGCTGCCCAAACGCCGGCGGCAACTCGCGCGCCTCGATGCACCTCAGCCTCCGCGACTCGCTGGCGAAGCTGCGCACCGAGTGGATCGACATCTTTTACGTCCAGTGGTGGGACTACACGGCCTCGATCGAGGAGGTCATGGACGCGCTGCACAACCTCGTCCAGCAGGGCAAGGTGCACTACCTCGGCATCTCAAACTGCCCGGCCTGGGTCGTCAGCGCGGCCAACACGTACGCGCGCGCGCACGGAAAGACGCCCTTTTCCATCTACCAGGGCTACTACAGCGTCATTATGCGCGACATGGAGCGCGACATCATCCCCATGGCGCGGCAATTTGGCATGGCCGTCGCGCCGTACGGCGCCGCGGGCATGGGCAAGTTCAAGACGCGGCACATGATTGAGGCGCGGCGGCGGAGCGGTGACGGGCAGGCGTTCCGGCACCTGGCAGACCAGACCGAGACGGAGATGCGCGTGAGCAAGGCGCTGGCCGAGGTGGCCGAGGAGGTCGGCGTGACGTCCATCACGGCTGTCGCGCTGGCGTACGTCATGGCCAAGGTGCCGTACGTGTTCCCCGTCGTCGGGGGCCGCAAGGTCGAGCAGATGCTGGACAATATCGACGCGCTCAAGATACAGCTCTCCGAGGCGCAGATTGCGTATCTCGAGAGCGTGGAGAAGTGGGAGCCCGGGTGGCCGTACGATGTGATGGGGTGGGATCCTCACGTGTCCGGGACCCCGCCTCCGTCCATCGCTGCGTCGGCCAGGGTGGATTTTGTGAGGCGGCCTAGAGCTATTGGGTATGATTGAGTAGAGATGTGATGCTTGGTGCTGTTCAAGGCGTGGGCATTGGGCTTTTGGTGGGGGGGGGGGGGGGGGGGGGGGGGGGGGGGGGGGTGGGGGGGTGTTGGGGTGTGGGGGGGGGGGGTGGGGGGGGTGGGGGGTGGGGGGTGGGGGGGGGGGGGGGGGGGGGGTTGCCTTGCCTGGTTCCGTCCGTTGACGGAAGTTTGGGGTGGCTTTTATGTACTGTGTCGAAACACGCCTGCGGCAACATATGAGTGGTGTGATACCGTTTTTCGCACCGAAATCCCAAAGCCTGGGTTTGTAAACATGCCAGCGCTTGTGGGAAGAGTCTGGAGGATGCCAGCGATATATGTGGATGCCACAGTGGAAGCGTCGGACAAGACGAGTGGTATAAACACCAAGCACGAATATGAAATGCACCAATTACCGTCGAGTGAAGTCTCTTGAGCCACAATTGGGCGTCGTGCTATTCAACCAAACAATTCCAATACCTATGAATTCGTCAAACTTGGTCAGGTATGCTACCTGCTCGTACGTTGCACTAACACCTTACATACCTACTGAAAATACGGATTAGCGCAGTCCAGACTAAATGCGTCGTGGCTTCCCCCGGGGTCTCAGATGTCGGAGGAACTAAACAAAAAAAACCGTTGAACGACTCACCTGCATCGCACATTCCCGGGTGCTTCCCAGGGGCGGCGGCAGCGGCAGCGGCAGCGACCTCGCCACCACCGGTCTTGAAGACCCCACCCGGCGTCCAAGGATCATCGGCGTCGCCCTGGCCCAGCCAGCGCCGAAGGGAGTACGCCTGACGGGCCGGACCCGAAACCACTAATGCGACCAAGCTTGCCTCGGCCCGTTCCCCGACGACTGCCGCTGGCGTTGTCGCCGGACGATTGATGACCTCGGTCATATCGATGCCTTGAGCTGTCTGGATGATGGGAAAGCTGCCACCCTTTCAGAAGGTATTTCTCCAACAAAGTCTCTTCAACCCCTCTCGCCCCCCTTCCTTTCCTTCTCATCCTCCATACGAATTGAAACAAACAAACGACAAGGTCCGGTCTGCTGGGTGACTCACCACAAGGCTGTTTCCGTGGCGCGTCACGGACCGCGGGGAAGCGAAGGACGAGTGAATAACAGAGTGACAAGCCCTACTTATTTGAAAAAGATTTGGGCATAGCAGGCATGGCCCGGAAGATTGGACAAGGGTCTCGAAAAACCGCGAGAAGCTGGCAGAGGCAAGCCGCCAAAGCCCAGTGGAAGGAAATATCAAGTCTGCCGTCCAGAAACAACATTCGTCCAGACAATGTGCTTTGAGTAGAAGCACGAAGTGATCCGTGAACATGGCCGCCTACATTTGATTTGCAACCTCCTGCTGCTTCCAGAGAGGCGCCGTGGATCGATTAGCTTGCTCGACACCGGACACGATTCGATCCAGCGTTGTACACTGTTCACAAACAACTTCTGTCAGGTCGTACTGATCCAAATACTTGGACGAGCGCTGCAGCTTCTCAGCGGGCCAAAGTTCGCATGGCAATGGGCAAGACAACTTCCCGATGGCAGTTGGAAGCGGTGGCGAAAAAGTGTTTGCTCTGCAGATGCCGATTGGCCATATTCCATCCTACTGATTCATCTGTTGTCGAGGTGTAATGACTTAAGCAAGCGGGAACTCGTCTCGGATGCTGCTGCGAGGTGATAGCTTTCCAATTCACCCGAGCCAGCACCCGCAAATGGACAGTCACAAGTCGAGTTTGTACCAGCGTGCGAGGCGTTGTTTGTCTGTTAGCGCAGCGCGCTACTCCCTCTTAGCCAAGAGTCGACGGGAGTGCACAGGAGGGAAAATGGACACCAGAGATGCAACGCAATGAGCTTGATTTGATTCTATACATCGCATTTTAACATTCGCCACCAGCCGTAATGGAATACCTCTTTCGTGAGTGACGCCTCCCTCTTCTTTTTGGCCATCCCTTTGCCAATTCGTGTTCCCGTCTGATACCTGGTCCGTTCCGTTTTCGCCCGAATCCGTGGCCTAAAGAAATGTTGATTCGAATTTTTCGAGTCTGGTCCCCCACAAGGCGATTACCATTATATACTATATTGTTTGGCCAGCAGGCGTCGCTAGCAGCAATGCATGTGACAATTGACAAAGAAAATGACTTTTGTCTGTTTTGCAAGAAAAATGAAAGTGATCATGGCCCGACAGGGGCATTGTAATATTGTACAGGCACCAGCGGCCAATCTGTTGTCATTGGCGTGGGTTGTGGTGCATTCTCGTCGACAACTGTGCTAGAGAAACTCTCCCAGTCCTCAAACGAGACCATATTTTCAGGCATAAATTGGAAATTCATTGGTTGGCTTTCTTGTGGTGGCGGAGGAAGCTCCCTATCCAGTGATGCGCGACGCAGAGGTTCGGTGTGTGCGCGCGGCTGTGGAGCGTGGAATAAAGGTTGCGGCATCATCGACTGAGCTCTCATCTGTTCCATGTACGGAGAGGGTGATGAGTCCTGTGACGCCAGGACTGGAGGTTGGGGTGACTGTGTCGGAAGAGTCTGGGAGGGTATCGAAGGAGGAGGAAGAAGAGGCTGAGGGGGGTATTGCTGAGGAAGAGTAGAAGGAGGTGCGTAACATTGAGAATATTGCATTGGCGGCGAAGCCGGCACGGGCAGGTAAACGAGGTCCGCGAGCTTGTAGGCAATCAAGACGATAGACTCGGCCTCGGAGCTAGATCCAGAAAAGAACTCGAGTAGGTCTTGAAGTTGGCCTGGGCTCTCGTTCTCCATGAATCCTTGCGCTCGACCGGTCTGTGTAGGATTCCAACTAAAGTTGGGCTGACGTCCTTGGAACTCGTTGGCCTTGGACATGAGCACGTCCTTCCAAGCCTCATGGATCAGAGGCTGGTGGAGTAAACCGTAGATGACCCTTGAGTGCATCCAATCCGACTTTGTTTTTCCTGATTCGAAATGTCTGGCGACGTGCTCGACGTGACGTTCTCTCGAAGGATGGAGGGCCGAGCAAAAGCCGCATGCCCAGTACTTTCGGCGCTTCAGATATTTGACGACCTTTTCGGAGTGCGGGCACGACTTGCAGCCGTGGGAAGCCTTGTGGTGTTGGTTGAAGGTATTTGCTCCCCAGAAGCTCCTGTTGCAGCCAGGCTCGGGGCAAGGGTACTTCTTCCAGCGCTCGTGGAACTCCTCCTCGTGACGCTTCCAGTCGTACTTGCGCTTAAATCTCGTTTCGCAAGAGGTACACCAGTAGAAGTTGAACCGGCCGGGACCCCAGCCTGTTTGAGCGCTTGCCACCTGGGGCACGCCTCCGGGAGCTGCTTGAGGTGCGCAATGCTGGGTAGACGGGGTTTGAGAAGCCTGGGAGTAATGTGTCGCGACGGTGGCGTTAGAAGCGGCGGAGCCCATGGACCAGATACTAGCATGGCCGGAAGAGCCCGAGCTCGTCGACGATACGGAGATGCGTGGTCTATGACCTATTTGGCCATGGCATATTGCTGAAGGAACGAGAGGGAAGTTAGCAGGTGTGTTTCTGAATCCCGTAAGGGGCAGGCAGGCTGTTGGGGGAGGAGAGAACAAACCCCGTGTTGAAGCATCCTCCATCGGAACGTCCTGTGGTGCATGTTGTTGTTGCTGCTGTTGGTGCTGCAGCTGCAGCTGCAGCTGCAGCTGTTGTTGCTGTGCTGCCTTGTCACCGGCTTCCCACATCTGCAATAGTGCCTCACGCGAAAGTCCAGAGCTTTTCAGAGCTTCAAGCGTTCGTCTAGCATCCGCCAGCACGTCGGCCGCGGCATCCTGCATGGGGTGATCCATCTTGAAGGGTGTTCCTCTCTCCACCCTCGCTCAGCCTAGGCGGATTAAAAGCTTCGCCGGCGTTCTCGGGCCAGCTGTTGAATGCTGCAGTTCGACTGAGGCGGCCGTGTCAAGGCGAATCGTCGTGACGTTAGGGGCGAACGTATACGACCGGGGAACTATCGATGTCGGCAGTTATGGCGGCTATGGTTAAGATGACAGAGAGTTTGTTGGCGTTAGGTAGTGAATGGTTCGTGTACAGGTAAAAACGAGAGTAAAGCGGGAAGCTAATCGGATGAGGTGCAGGGCAAGCCCGGGTTAATGATGCGAGAGAGAGAATGATTTTTTTTATTTTAAAAAAAAAACGAGAGTGAGAGATGAAGTTTGGTCAAAAGCTGGCGGGGTGTCTCTCGGAGATATAATAATAGGAAACGAGTGTGGGTGTGGATTAAAGGGCGTTGTGGTTGGTGTGGTGAGGTCGGAAAGGTGAATTGAGGTGAGGTGAAAGGTAGGTGCGGGAGGTGCGTGGTTAAGATGAGATTCCGGACGGGAAAAGAAGTTGGTGGTGTTGGAGTTCGGACGCCTTGGTGGGAAGCGAGAGGAGGCAGAGGAGCAGGAAGGAGGAGGGAAGGTGTGTGCTTTGGGATCCCAGACCCCACAGAGCCAGCGCCAGAGCAAGAACCAGAGCCAGAGCCAGCACGGAAGCTTGGGCGAGTTAGTCAGGGACCTAGCGCGGAGAGATGGAGCGAGAGGGAAGAGCTAAGGGGTCGGGTACCTTGGAGGAGGTGATGGAGGAGGCGTGAGATTGGAGAGTGTGAGGCGTGCGGAGAGCAGCGAGGTGTCGCTAGGAAGGAGGCGCGAGGAAGAGCGGGAGGGAAGGGGGAGAGGAGAGGATAATGAGAGGGAAACATGAGGGAGGGAAACGAGTAGGAAAAAAAAAAAAAAAAAACGTAGGTGCTAGGGTCGCGGGAGTTGGAAGGCAAGGCAGGTAAGATAGGTAGGTACTTACTGTACGGATACAGCAGTCGGAATGATCCCTGTTCGTACCTGGACTTTGCGTGTTGATTTTGCTGTGCTTCTTGCTCGTCTCTTATTGACCTGCTCTAAGAAGGTACCTTAATGCTCCCCTCCCCTGCTTCCCACTTCAGATACCTTCCTTCCCTTGAGGTACCTGATGATTGACCCTTATGTAAGGTGCCTACTGACTTGTCCCAGGGCCCGTCCGAGTTAGCGATGGGAAGGAGATCTGGTTCATCCATCTACCTTATCTTGTTTAGTGGTGGGTAGCCGAGTTGAAGGCTGGGCATGCTTGGTGTAAGCCTATAACACACCAAAGACGAGAATAGTAGATGGGACAGGAGATAGCAAAAGAGAGAGAGAGAGAGAGAGAGGCGCCAAGTTGGTGGAGTGGACTACCTACGTGCCATGTTTTCGAGCCAGATTGCGTGCGTGCGTTTTGCGGGTGTGCTTCTGTGTCCGTGAAGCCGCTCTCTGCATATGCAGGCAGACACACCAGACAATGAATAGTCACTCACCTTGTTTGGATATCCCGCTGGCACTTGTCAATCCCGTCCGATGTTTGAGCGCCAGCAGACAGCATCGTCGAAGACGTGGCACAGAGATGATGACAGCAAGCAATGGTAGACACAGAGAGAAAAACAGATTTTCATATCCCCTGTCGGTTTCTTGTACATAGTAAGCTGTCCCTGCTGCGCGTCCCTTTTCGCATCTTCGTACGGGGGTCGGTACCTACTCTGTACTCCGAGATACTCCGTACTCAAATGGTACAAAGACGCCGCCCCCGTAGAAGAGGTGCGCTCCGGCGTGGCCAGTCCGTTCGTAGAGTACAATACCCGCTGGCTGTGCTCGCTGGCAGCTCCGACGGGCATGTTTCACTCGTTGGGGACGGTGGGCTGGCTTTGGAACGCGCCCGTAAGGCGTTGAAGCAGGTAGAGTGCCACGAGTGCTGCCATGTTGCGTTTGTACAGGTGTTGGAAGTAGAGGGGGGCGTAGAGACAAGGGGGGGAACTAGGGGGGTATCGCGACCGAAAAGTAAGAGAACCTGGGCCAGGAGCAGGGTCGATCCCGCCATGAAACGAACCTCTCAGCGCGTCGTCGT